AGACCGCTGGACTTCCTGTTCTCAGCATCCCCCAGAAGTCCTGTTGACATCAGGTCACATGACTCACAAACAGAAACATCTCTCTTGTGTTTATATGTGGATGTGGGATGTTTAACATCTCTGTAGGAACACAGCAGGAATTCGGATCAATGAAGGGATCTGGAACCCTTTTCAGGATGCTTTCAGGTCATGTGACCCGAAGTTCTGCAGAATCTCACGTCTCCTCCCCTCCTGCAGCATGTGGGAAGTAAACAGCTGGAGGAGCTGAGCTCAGCATGTGTGTGAGTGCCCCGCCCTGCTTCCCAGCCTCTTGTTGTTTTTGCTGGTTTTGTTTCCTCAGCCTCCATCATCTGCTGGACAGGAAGCTGTTAGCGCTAACGAGCCCAGAGCCGACTGATGGAGACAAGTCCATCCGCTTAAGATCGATTTACAGACTCAGAGCCCCGTTTTCAGAAGTGAACTCTCCATCAGAGGACAGCTGACGCCACAGTTCCTCCAGCAGATGTTTGTTTATGGAGCCGCTGCTACGGAGGAGGGGAGGCCTTTTCCAGTTAATGTGGAAAAACCAGCAGGCTGATGTACGGATATCTACCACCTCTGCTGCTGCTGTAACATCTAAACGCCACAGCTGGAACAAACACAAAACCATAAAACGGTTTTATTTAATACACACCCCACACACACTCTCCCTCACCATTCAGATTTATGGGCAGGGTGGAGGACCGGGCCTCGGATCGCCCGTCAGCACAACTCTGTGACCATCTAGAATAATTAGACATCCCGCTGCTCTCTTACATCCCTGAACATGACTGTCCCATCATGGTCTCTGGGGACATGCATGGTCCTGACTCATCAGGTTTTCTGTGTAGCGGTCACACTTTATTAATTATGACCAATAAGATGTGATGATTCCATTTAAATATGAAGTATCAACCTGATTGATCTTTGAAGTTTATTCAGAAGATTATAGTTACTTTTACTTGTTCAGGGATCATAAACACACTTCGTATTAATTCAGACAGAGTCAGTATATGGTGAAGAAGGAACTTTATTCTTTTCTAAACTAATGATTATGCAAGATATGAATAAGGAGATGGGATGGAGTGGATATGCGGTGATGGAGTGTGATGTGTAGGTGGTGTGATGTAAGTGAGATGTTTATCAGAATCTTTGTATCTGAAAGAAATTATGAAATCTGGGTGTAAAAGAATTTGTTGTCTGCTATAAACTAGAGAGTTGATTATTAATAAAACGGCATCAGACGCAATCTGTTGTGTCTACAAACCAGGGTATCCGCGGGTCCTTAAAAAAATTGGCTTTTCCAAATTTAAGGCCCTAAAATTCCTTAAACATGACAAATAATCCTTAAATACAGTTTCCAAAGGTGTTAAATTACCAAAGACCCAATAAACAAGATTCTTTTATTTCTATACATTTTTTGTGAATTTCTAGTTGGCGTTCAGCATTTCTTGTGTACGATGTTGGCGTAAGCGGAACCGTACACATTCAGTTGGTTGTGAAAGGGGGCTATTTTTAGACGAGCACATTAGCTGGTTAAGCTAGTGGGAGCTTGCGCCACGGGGAAGGGCAAGTTTAATGGTAACTGGATGGCTAATCCCACGTTCGCGACGTGGTTAGCGCCGGTTCCAGGCAATAGCTGGAAATTATAGCTTAAATTTAATTTTAAAAAATTGCTTAAATTTGGTCAAAATGGCCTTAAAAAGGTCTTAAAAGTATTAAACTTGGCTCCCATAAACCTGCAGATACCCTGACAAACCCTGGCGGAGACCCCCAGCAGATCCGGACTGTCAGAAGTCGGGTGGACCTCACGGCGCCGGGATTTCGTAGATTAACTCCGATTCGACCCGTCCAGTCTTGAGATGTCTCCAGGTCACAACAGTAGCTGGAACGCTTGTCTGCGTCCAAAGTGGATGTGGCTGTTAGGGAGCCGTCTGGCTGTGTCAGCTTGCAGCGTGCAAACAGGTGTTGACTGCATGTCAAAAGAGATGTCTCGAGGATGCTTGTTCCGAATTGGCCGGTTCGGAACTCCGCCAGAATCTGAATTACTCGGGAAGCAGTTCGTGTTTTATTAAACTACTTTCTTATGATTTCTGGCCATTCTAGCAAATCTGAATGTGCCGTATCTGGAAGGCTTTACCAAAACATTCCTCAGAAAGCCACGCGTTCCTTCAGATACAATAACGTTTTTAACCTTAACCCTCCCACTGTCTTTATGGGTGACCCCGTGAGAAAAGTTGACCATTGAGCGGGATTGATGGTTTATCCCTTGAGGTTCAGGTGGCAGGGGTGAGGTGGTGCTCACTCCTCACCCCTGCCACGTGAACCTCAAGGGATAAACCATCAATCCTGCTCAACGGTCAACTTTCCTTGTGGGGTCACACCCGTTAGGACAGTGAGAGGGTATGGAGCTAGGATTGGGACAATATTCAATGTAGCTTGTACCAAGTTTTGTAACTTGGAACATGTTTCATGACACGTA